GGAGGAGGAGGAAGAGAAGGATGAGGAGGAGAAGGAGAAGAAGGGGGAGGAGGAGGAAGAGAAGGAGGAGGAGAAGAAGAAGGAGGAGGAGGAGAAGAAGAAGGAGGAGGAGAAGGATGAGGAGGAGAAGGAGAAGAAGGAGGAGAAGGAGGAGGAAGAGAAGGATGAGGAGGAGAAGCAGAAGAAGGGGGAGGAGGAGGAGGAGGAGAAGGATGAGGAGGAGAAGGAGAAGAAGGGGGAGGAGGAGGAGGAGGAAGAGAAGGATGAGGAGGAGAAGCAGAAGAAGGGGGAGGAGGAGGAGGAAGAGAAGGATGAGGAGGAGAAGGAGAAGAAGGGGAGGAGGAGGAGAAGGATGAGAAGGGGAAGGAGAAGAAGGGGAAGGAGGAGGAGGAGAAGGATGAGGAGAAGAAGGAGGAGGAGGAGGAAGAAGAAGAGGAAGAGGAGATGGAGGAGAAGGAGAAGAATTGAACACCCAAAATTTGTGATTATAGGAGCATTATCTAGGATGAAGCTAAATTCTGTAGCACAATTTAAATGGAAAAACAGTTGATGTAATTTCTTTAGCTACTAAGTAGGCCACAGGGAAGGAGGTGTGAGGCTCGGCCAAGAATTCCTGCGGCCACAGCAGAGCCCGTGCTTCTCGTGCTCGCATACTCTGCTCTGCTCACATGCAGGAGCCTGCATAACCTTCATCATAGTCCAGAAAGAGCCCATTTGACAGACAAGGAAATGGAGGCTCGGAGAGGCCACTGCACTCACAGGGGCACACAGCTGGGACCTGCACCCCGGGCCCTTGAACACTTGGTGCCAAGCACTTTACCCTGTGACCTGCCTTTCATTGAACTGACATTCAAGAAACACTTACAAGGCATCTACCGTGGGCCAGGCTGCTGCTGCTGCTGCAGCTGTGAGTTCTGCTGGGCTCAGGCTTAAAGGGTTTTTTCAGGGTGTTTTCAGAGGAATCATTAGACCACGCTCAGTACTGGTCCTCATCCAGACGCCACTCGTGGGTATCATAAAAAGATGCGGGTACCAGCTCAGTGCTGCAGTACGTGCCAGCACGCATGGGGCCCTGGGTCCCGTCTCCAGCACTGCTCCCTAGGCCAGTGAGCAGCCCACCCTGCCTGCTTTCACCCACCGTTCTAACCATTCCTCCCCGCGACTGCTCTGGTGCCTCCTCTGGGTCCAGCAGCACCTGCCACTTTGTATTTACACTTCGGCTAAGCCTCCTTGGAGCATCCGGACTGCAAGCTGTTAGCGGTGTGAGGGGAGGATGGTGTCTGATTTGCCTCCTGCCCCCTGCTGGATGTGTCGCCAGGCACTGGCAGCAAGTGCTTAGCAAATGCTTTCTAAATGTGTGTGTGTGACAGCCTGCCAGGGGCATCCGCATGGTCACACAAGATGCACACAGTGACCTGGGAAGTCCCCGGCTGGATGTCCAGGGTGGGAAGAAAACAGCTCCTCGCTGCTGATGGAATATAAAGAAAAGTCTTTCCATCTCGAGGGTGGAAGCCAGGTTCCCACTCTCCACCACTTTGAGGCAATCAAAACCCAAATTCTTCATGAGTAGTGGTAACTTTGCTAAAACATCTTCAGCCATTCATGCATCTGCCCACTGAGAAGTGATACAGTTAAGAGCCTGCAGGGCCGGGGAGCCCTGCGTGTGAGGCAACAGGGAGCGGGAGGGACTGTGGCTAAACAGAAGCTCAGTCCTGGTTTAAGGAGGAAACTGCTACTTAAATCTACCAGCTGATCGCTGCATGAGGATCCAATCACCAGATGCTTCAGAAGAATCCAGAAATCTCAATTATTTTGGGAACCTACCTGATCTGTGAAAACTCTGTGGCTATTCTTACATTTTACATTGCATGAGTTACAAAGCTCGCGAGTCATTTTTCACAGGCGGAAAGGTCCAAGCCACACAAACCTTCTACAGTGTGCCTCCCACCCCTCAACAGGCAGGCCACCTGTTTTATTCGCTTTCTTTTTGCCTGCTGCTAGGACATAACATTTGCTCCCTAATCATTGGCGGGAACTTCATGTATCCTGAGACCCAGATGCTGTGCTAGACACAGGGGCTCCTGGCATGAGTATCAGAGTGGCTGGCCATGTGGGAAAGAGGTGCAGAGGAAGGAATGGAACAGCTCCGGGTCCATGCAGGCTACGGGATGTGAGGATCTGTGCCATGGGAGACAGACCCGGCTCCTGGCGATTCACCTGTCGGAGTGAGGCGCATCCAACAACGTGCGTCTGTGAGTGCGCCGCTTCCGTGGGTCAGGAGTCTGTGGGCAGCAGAGCTGGGTCCTCTGGCTCAGAAATGCTCCCCAAAGCATCCCTGAGGCTAGAGTCTCATCTGAAGATGGAAGCAGAGAGAGATCTACATCGACATGCTCGTAGCTCTCTGCAAGACTCAGTTCCCCGCGTGCTGCTGGCCACACCCCCTCCGTCCTTGCCCCACAGACCTTCCCACGGGGCAGCTCTCAGCACGGCCAATTGGCTGAGTCTGAGATGATCCACCAGTGAGACACGGGCACCGTCGTGGTAGCGACATCCCTCCCATTGCTTCTTCCCTGTTGTGGGTTAAAAGTGAGTCACAGGTTCTACCTGCACTCGGGGACAGTGAGATCGGAAGGCGGAGGTCATGGAGAGCTGTCTTACCACCTGGTCACTGTGCTCATCTGTAGAAAGAAGCAAGGGTGTGCATGCAGGGCAGGGGCAAAGCATGGGCCTCACCACCCAGGGGAATAGCGGTGACCATTCAGCAGGTAAGACCAGTTCACTTCAAGGCTGGGAAGAGCCCAAGGAGGCCAGACATGAAACAAAGCCTTGGAAGCCAAGTCTGAGGAAGCCACCTGCTCTCCACAGGAGCCAGGATGCGCCAGTCGGAAGTAGCTGGCCCCTGCTCCATGCCCCCAGGTGAGGTCTGAAGGTGATGGCCATTATCCAAATGACAGGAGTTGTACTAGTGAGCTATAGAAGGTAATCCACTCTGATCCCCCAGGAACATTTAGGTAAAAGGCACAGCCCACCTCCTGGGGGGCTTCACTAATCAGCCTGGAGCCTGCAGCTATTGATAAAGGTTCTTCCCCTCCTGTCTCTCGGGTAGGTCCACAGCAGGTATAGCAAGTGATATTTGAAGACATGGGTCAAATCCAGAAAAAAAAAAACTTTTAAGATCTGAAGGAGAAAAACTGGGGCTCAGGGGAACTGTCGTGGGGATGTAGAATGGAGTGCCTCAGTGGAAAGCAGTACAGCATGTCCTCAAAAAAACTTAAAAATAGACTGGGGAGATAGCTCAGTGGTCTAAGTGCCTGCCTGGAAAGCACAAGGACCCGGGTTCAATCCCCAGCACTGCATGCCGTGCTGGCCCCAGAACCCCAAGTGTGTCATGCCTGCCACAAAGACCGGGTATGGTGGCACATGCCTGTAATCCCAGTGCTGGGGAGGCTGAGGCAGGAGAATCACTATGAGTCTGAGCTTCATAGCAAGACCCTGTAGCACATAAATAAATAAATAAATTTTTTTTAAAGTTTTTTTTAAACTTAAAAATAGAATGGCTATGAACTCCAGCAATTCCGCTTCTGGGTATATATGTACCAAAGAACAGAAATCAGGGATGCAGAGAGGTGCTTGGACACCCACACCCACAGTACACAGTGGAAGCACTCGCAGTGGTCACACGTGGAAGCGGCCCACATGTCCAGTGGTGAGTGAGTCCACCAATCAGGGTCCGTCCGCAGAAGAAAGCACCACACAGCCTTTCAAAGGAAGGAAGTTCTGGCTCATGCCATCTCAGTCATGAGCCCTGGGGATGTCACACACGGTGAAACGAGCCATTTCCAAAAGACATACACTGCATGAGTCCCCCTACACGAGATCCTTCCAGTCATCACATGGGTAGAGACAGAGAATAGAGCAGTGTGTGCCAGAGGCTGGGAGAGCGGAAGACGGAGAGTCGCTTGATGCATAAAGAGTTGCAGATTTTCAAGAGGAAAAGAGTTGTGGGATTCGTGGTCCACCATGCGAGTGGACCTAAATCTTCCTGCAATTGCTTAGGAGGCAATGTGACCTGTCCAAGAATTTGACCACAATTTAGATTTAAAATTTGTAACTTTTCTAAGTTTATTAATGTTTTAGGATTTGTACTCCTTTGTGAACAACAGTATTGCTGACTGCCCATCCCACCTGGGTGCTGGAAGAATTCAGTATATGCTGGGCTGGGAATGGGTTCAAACTGCCGGTTAAGGATGGCAGGGACTTCGTGTCTGCAGATTCAGAGAATGAACACCAGGTGGCGCTGTGAGATGATTAGGTCGGCCAGTCAGTGTAGGGCTCGTGCTGTATCCCCAGCTCTAGGATCCTACGTGCTTTAACAAGCTCATCTCCAAATAATGCGGCGTATGCTGCGCCAGTGGAGAAAGAAGGGCTTCAGCCGGTGACAAGAGGCATCAGGGAAGTCTTCACAGAGGTGGGAAAAGAAAGCCTGAATACTGAAAGACAAGACTTAGACACGCTGGATGAGCAGGTTAGGTATGAGATGAGAACTGAGAATTTTTCTTGAAGAAACACCACTATAATGCGTAACTGCACACCTGCCACATGCCAAGAACGCGTCCAGCATGTTAGACCTGTTGCCTCACTCCTCCAGAGCCCTGTGAGGTTGGTGTTTGCGTCTTGCTCCTAAGCTCAATGAAAATCAGAGAGGCTCTGGCTCTCGCTGGAGGTCACACAGCTAAGAAGTGGACAAACCCAGACTTGAACCCAAACCCACAGCTCAATTTATTCTGCCGTGCCTGTGCGTAATGTGCCCTCTAGAGGCGGGAGAGAGAAAGGCTGATCTGAGGAAAGAAAGTGGTTCTGGAGGGCGGGCTGAGCCGGGTTGCACGGGCTCTGAGTAGGGCCACCCCCACACCCCCTTCAATTGGCTTCGTCTCATCCGAGCCCTGTTTGTCTTGTATTTCAGCGGAGGAGTCCCTGGCGTGTGACAACCCAGGGCTGCCTGAAAACGGGTACCAGATCCTGTACAAGCGGCTGTACCTCCCCGGAGAGTCTCTCACCTTCATGTGCTATGAAGGCTTTGAGCTCATGGGTGAAGTGACCATCCGCTGTATCCTGGGGCAGCCGTCGCACTGGAACGGGCCCCTGCCAGTCTGTAAAGGTACAGATGCGGGCCGAGGGGCCGAGGGCGGCTGGGTCAGCTCCCTGCAGTATGAACTCACACTGGCAGGATGGACTGCAACGGTGACAGACCCTGCCAGGTGCCAGCTCAGGGCTGTCACCCAACCTCACAGGGCTCTGGAGGAGTAAGTGAGACAACAGGTCTAACATGCTGGACGCGTTCTTGGCATGTTGCAGGTGTTCAGGTCCTCTTCCTAGAAAGCCACTCCTGCCATCATGGGGGGCCCCACTCATGATCTCTGTCACCCTCACAACCCCTCCCCAAGCTCCACTGCCAAACACCACGGACATGGGAGCTTGGGGATGCGGCTCTCAATACATGGGACATTCAGACCATGGATGCTGTTGGCCAGTATTTTTCGGCTGGTTTGCTTTGTTGTCATCATATACTGGTGGCTTTGGTGGTGGTTGTTGTCAGTGGACATTTGCTATGTATGATAGCTACATTTGTTTGGGAAACAGATATTTCTTGATTATTTTCAATTCCCGCCCCCTTCCTTGCCCTCCCCTGCCCCTCACTTCTCTGGAAAGCCCACCTCTCTGCTTCCTGCCATCACTGCTTCCTTCCACTCTACTGAATGCCCACATCGGGCTTCTCCTATCACAGAACCTGTGCCATGTTTAACCTTCTGCATCTGATCAGGAAATCTTGGGGTTTAGTCAGACATGAAGGCAGCCACCGCCTTTCCTATCTACTTCCCCCAGCTCCACTTCTGCATTTTTTTTGCACCCTTAATGGAATATTTCTGGGCGCAGCTTTCAGGATGATCTGGAGGCCAGGGTCTGGGACGCCACCCTCCTTCCTCTTGAATTTCCAGGGATTTTAGCAGATGCAAGTAAATGAAAGAGTCTCACGTGGAATACAAAGGAAAGCAGAAGGCTTGCCTCAGTGTGTATTTCAAGCAGGGAAACAGTGTTTCCTTTGGCTGGACTTTAGAGCAAGTTCTCAAATGCTTCCATTCTTCAGTGTTTTTGTAGGGCCTTTCTTTCTTTCTTTCTTTCTTTCTTTCTTTCTTTCTTTCTTTCTTTCTTTGGTACAGGTCTCACTATGCAGCTCAGACTCATAGTAAACCTCCCATCTCAGCCTCCTGTTCTGTTCATCTGTACAGTGGCAGTGAGGATAGTGTCTCGCTCAGGACTCTTGAAGGTTAAACGAGGGCACATACACAGAGCTCCAGGCACAGCGCTGGGGGTTTTGTCATTATTCATTACTGCTATTAGGGTTTTCACACCTGTATGCTCCACCTCATCTTCCCCGAGAACTTAGGTGAGCAGGTCCTACCGACACCACCAGCCAAAGACAGGTGAAAACACAACGCTCGCTAACAAGGTGTGGTGTGGGCGTCCTCATCTGTTTTGGGGTTTTTTCGCTAGCTTCATTTCACACAGAGTGAATTCACTTGGCACTGACCGACACTTTCTGATTTCCCTTCCAGTTAATCAAGACAGTTTTGAACATGCATTAGAAGGTGAGTTCCATCCCACAATGCAGAGACCCCCATGCAACGAGCTCGTAGCAGGAAACAAGGGCAGGTCCTTGACATGTGCTGACCCTGGTACTTTAAAAAGGTCCCTAATAAAGTCTGCCTTCCCACCACCACTAAGAACCTCCAAGCAAATGAAACTAGAAGGAAACTAGTAAGTGGATTTGCAACTTCACATCCTAAGGGTGGTCCCTGCGAGGGATTTGACCCCAGCTCTGCACACAGGGATGGCAGCCCGAGGGGTCGGCCCTGTGGCCATCTTCCCAGCCAGGAAGCAACCCCCTGTCCTGTTCCTTTTCACCAAGCACCCTTCTGCTGCAGGAGAGCAGGCCCGCCCAGGCCAGCCCTAGCTCCGTTCTCCTACAAGTCGTTCTCCTCCCCATGTTGGCATCCGTCTCCCTCCTCCTTTATTGGAAACTCCCCGGCAAAGTTTATTAACATGGGACAGGGGTTCAGCGTGTGTCATGATTTTCTGTCTACTCTTGCCCCCTAGTTCCTTCCTTCCCAGCCCCTCCATACAGAAAACTGTCAGCACTTCCATTAAATAGGGTGCAAAACCTCTCCTTCAGGCTGTGATGTTAAAAAAAAAAAAAAAAAAAAATTGAATCTATTGTTTCCCTTGTGAAAATGTTCCATCCAATGAAACTCTTGTCATTGTCACTCCTGGAGTGGGATCTAGGGCTCTGTGAATTGTGCATCACAGGTTGCCTTTCCCCCTAACAGACAACGCAGTCAGGCATGCGGGTAGAGGCCAAGCCCAAGTGCAGGTGTAGGAAGAGAGCAGCTAAGTTAGTCACTCTGCTTGGAAAACAGCAGGCACTTCAGGCGCCATTCTGCTGTTCTCCACACGAGCTGAGCTGGCCCTCGGCTGCCTTTCGCCACCCTCTGGACCATGAAAAGGTCCGCGAGGGCTGGGCTTGCTCAGGGATGTTGAGTGTCACCACCAGTTTTGTGTGCTTCTGCTTATCACCAGGCTTAGGACTGATTTTTCAGGCCTCATGAGGAGGTGGCTGATGGATTCCAGATTGGAGCGCAGCTCAGCTCTTTGAGATGCTGCCAGGAGAATGCAGGGGAGCCCCGGAGGCAGGCTTCTGGGAGCAATGGGGGGCCTCTCAGCCGATCTGGGAGATGCCGTTGGTCCCTGAGATAACTATGCTGGCCCGAGGAGAGCCTGGTGAGCCAGAGGAGCCTCCAGGTGAGGCTGGCCCTGCCCAAGATGAGCACCAGGGGCTGAGCTCACGCCGGAGCTTGAAGCTAAGTGTGCGGAGTGAGGAGCTGTGCCAGCTGCCCGGGCTCAGCCCTGGCTGGGAGTCTGAGACCTGAAGGGTCCCCGAGCCAGGTGCAACTGCGGAGTGAGGACTTGAAATGACCACCAGCAAACTGTACAGACAAAGAGGGAGGGGGTGTGAGGCAGAGAAGCCGTGTGTGCCTACTGGGCACTGTGCAGAGGCCCTGAAGTAGCTGTGTGCTCCTGTGCACTGGTGGGGAGCAGGCAGGCAAAGAAATCGCAGCCCACTACGGTGAGCACTGGGAAGCAGCGCCCGGGGAGCAGCCACCCTGGGGCTCCTGCTTAGAAGACTTGCAGCTGGTACAGCTGCGCTCCACTCCCCGTGGACAGCCCTGGTCTGCTCCAGTGCTGCCGCCAGTCCTGGTTCATACCCTTTTCTCCTCCACATGAAATGTCCAGGAATTCTACCTCTCCAGGGGCTGCATTTGAGATTGTCTCCATTTCCTTCCTCCAGTTAGATCTTAACCCGATCTTGGCGATGCCCACCGCCAGCCTGGCACAAGCCAACAGGCACAAGAACACTCAGGGGATTTCCCCAGCTCTGCTCAAGAGCTGGATTTTAAGTCAATTCACTGCATCCCGCCCTCCAGTGGGCATGGATGGATCAGTCTCCAAACTGCAATCCTCCCACTCTCAGGGAGCCCCTAGTCCCAGGATGAAGGGGCCGTGGGAGGGGCTGAGGGCTCCCCCTGGAGGCAGCAGGCTCCACGGGGGCAGGGCATACGGGCCAAGAGGCTCAGGGGCCATGTGTTCAGTAGCAGAAGCGGCAGCAGAGTCGTCGCTGGAAGGAGGAAACATGGCCCTGGCCATCTTCATCCCGGTCCTCATCATCTCCTTGCTGCTGGGAGGAGCCTACATCTACATCTCCAGGTAGGCTGAGGCAGGAGGCAGCCCCCAGGGATGTGTGCGGTCACCTCAGAGCTCTGGGTCTGCTCTGGAGCCTTGGGGTAGTAAGCAGCAGCATCGGGTAACTGTGGAGATGGTTCGACTCTGCTCATCTGTGTGGGGCAGGTAGCAGCACTGGGCACAGAGCAGATGCCCCCAGCAGGAGGGCTGAGCCTAAGTAGGACCCAAGACAGACACCTGCCCTGGTCGCAGGGAGCTTCTCCTTCCATGGGGGACATGGGCAGTTCACACTATTGGGCACCCCACCTCTCATTCTGTCACTCACTCGCTCATTCAGGTATTCACAGATTGTGTACCCACAACTGAGTGGGTACCAGATGCTGTCCTGGGCACTGGAGGTCACAGGCTTGCATGCAACAGAGAAGGCAGATGTAGAGCAGGCTTGGCAGAGTCCTGGTGCAGCCAGGCTCACACTCAGCAGAGCTCTGGTGTGTGCCGGGCAGACTCCCAGGCCCGGGGACATCATCATGAGCACAGCAGAAGGAATCTGCCCACGGGGGGCTCAGCACGAGTCAGATAACAAGCAACACATAGGAGGCCAAGCGAGGAGTAGATTAAAAACTGAAAAATGTAGGGAGGAAAAGAAAACTGAGAAGGGAGAATAAGGGCCCTGGAGGAGGGCCAGCGGCTGCATTTTCACATTAGTAGATGAAAAAGGCCACACTGAGAAATGAAAACCTGTGAGCATGGGTGCAAGTGTGATTCAGTGAGTAGCATGCCGAGGAGCAGGAGAGGAGAGTTTCGGGAAGAGGCCGGGCAAGTGCAAAGGGACGGAGGCCAGTGTGTGCCTAAGTGAGCCGTCCCTGCCTTCAGGGAGCTTGCCCCAGGCACAGGGAGAAGAGGAGTGAGCACAGAAGTGAGTGCTCGCCTCCGTAAGGTGAACACAGTGGGGAGAGGAGCTGCCTGAGCTTGGGAAGTGGGTGGCTGCTGTCCTCCCTCGCATGAGAGCTGACCTCTGTCCCCGCCTCTTCTGCAGGTGTCGCTACTACTCCAGCCTCCGCCTGCCCCTCATGTACTCACACCCCTACAGCCAGATCACCGTGGAGACCGAGTTTGACAACCCCATCTATGAGACAGGGGTGAGTCCCTCCCTCTCCCGCCTCCTCCCTCTTCATCCACTGGCCAACTGCCAGTGCCCACCACCCGCCGCAGGCCCCGCTGTGTTCGCCATAAGCGCACCCGGCCCTACTGCAAGTGCTTGGAGCCAGGGGAACCCGGGAGGCGGTCTGCCCTCTGAGCACCCACAGAAGGAGGCGCTGCTCCAAGGCCAGATGCCCCGCACAGGTGGCCAGCCTACATCTGTGGCTGAGCCCTGAACTTTGCTGAGGGTGCAGCTCAATGTGCCTCAAGAGGCAGCCCAGGGCCGGGTACTGGGAGCACAGTACTGAACCAAGAGCACTCACTTCATGGCAGGATGCCTTCTGAGAACCATGCCTTTGGATGATCACTGTGTGAACATCCTGAGGGGCTTCCCCAAACCCGGTGGTGCAGGTCCACCACTTGCTGTGGCTCCTTCAGTTTTGTTTGTTCATGTGGTGGTACTGGGGGCTGAACCCATGACCTTTGCACTAAGCTACATTCTCCCAGGTAGGGTCTTGCTAAGTTGCCAAGACTGGGTTCAAATCCCAGAGTGCGAGGGCAACAGGTGTGCGACGCCACACCTGGCTCACTGTGAAGTCTCAGTGTGATCACGCAAACCAGGCATGGCGGCTCACACCCGTCATCCCATCTACTCAGGAGGCTGAGGCAGGGGGATCCCAAACTCGAGTCTAGCCAAGCAACGTAGCAAGACCCTGAGTCAAAATAAAAAGGGCTGGAGATACAGCTCGGTGGTAGAATGGTTGCCTCAAATGTGCTAGGTCCAGGGTTCCATCCCAGCACTAAAAGGGGCAAGAGGAGAGAGAAACAGAGAGAGAGAGAGAGAGAGAGAGGACAGAGGAGGTCTAGGAGGCCGCCAGAATCACAGAAGTAACCTTTAGGTAGGTGGAAGTGTGCTCTAAAATAAAATCATAGCACAGTAGACACACAAAAGAAACCTGCAGCAAGCTCACTTAGCACCACTACCCAGTGTTCCCTACCGTCTCTGAGCTAGGCGCCATGCTGCCACCTGGGGGCAGTGCAGGCGGCAGCACCGCCCGGCACACCTGAGCAAAGCCGCGCGCTGTAACACCATGACGTCAGCACGCAACGGGCATCCAGGCGCCCGTCACAGCCCCGTGGGGCCACTGTGGGCTCTGCAGCCTGCTGATGAGCACAGGTCACGAAGCGCTGCTTCACCGCACACTTAGCTCCCACTCCCATGAACTTACAGTTTTGCAAAGTCGATAAAGACCACTAATAGGGCCGGGGAGATAGCTCAGTGGAATAAGTGTTTGCCTGGCAAGCACAAGGTCTGGAGTTTGATCCCTGGCACCACACACACACACACAAAGACCACTAATAATACTAATATATGGCCCATTTGCCCAACACCCAGCATATAACATCCCTCATCCTTGTGGTTCTTTGCGTTAAGTCTATGGTTATATGCCTTTGATTGCGGAGGACATGGAAGTCCAGAGAGAAGAAAAGGGAACTTGGCCAACATGGCAGCCAGCCAGGGTGTCCAGCCAGAAACCAGGCAGCACTCAGCCTGCCTCCTTGAGTAGGGGTGCTCACCTGCCTCCCCGAACACTTCAAGCCATCAGATGTGCCCACAGTTAGCTAGGTTAGGCTACATTATCAGGTTTACAGACCAAGAAAATATCAGGGTGCTGTGAGACAGATGATGGTGGAAAGAAAGATGTTGGAGGGGGCTGGAAAGATGTTTTGAGGAAGCAAAGAGACAGCTGAGAGGTGAAAAACGTGGCTGCAGGGGGTGCCAGGCAGACGGACAGGGGTGTACAAAGGCCCAGAGGTCCGTGGCAAGTGCATAAGGCCACCCCTCCACACTCACTGCATCATGATGTCGTCCCCTCCAAGTGTATGCAGGGGTGGGAACAACCTGTCCCTACTCTTCCTGCTCTACCCGGTCCCTCTGCGTGGTTACCACAGATCTAGGGGCCCACGGAAGCACACCTTCACCATCTCATCATTGCTGCAAGTGGCGACTCTGGGCCCGCTCAGTGGAGTCCTCTGCTGTCTCAGGGCCACTCTCAGTCCCCCAGCTGGGGCTGCAAGGCTCACCCTTGGCTCACGTGCTGGGTGTCACCAGTCAGGTCCTCTAGATCACTAGGGTGAGGGGCTGCATATCTAGAAGGCTACTGTCCTTCTTTGTTTTGAGCACTGTGGATTGAAACTAGGGACATCCTACCACTGAGCTGTGTTCCCAACCTGTTTTATATTTTTTAATTTGTAACAGCATCTCACTAAGTTCCCTAGACAGGACTCAAACTTGCAGTCCTCCTACCTCAGCCTCCCTCAGTGCTGGAGTTACAGGTGTGCGCCACCACACTGGGCTGCAGGCTGTCATCCTGAGGCCACTTTCAGTGCTTTCCATGTGGCCCTCTCCATAGAGCAACTCACACCTTAATCTCCTAGCAAGACAGAATCCACAAGCCTGTGGAGGTGACATCCTAGCCACAGCCCCACCCCCCGGAGGAGGAGCCCACACAAGAACATAAGCTCAAGCAGGTGGGGACTGCTGTGAAGTTTGCCCTCCACACCTCCCATGTGCTGGGAGGCAGCAGTGTGACTGCTCCTCTAGGCTGGCCCAGCAGGAACTGAGGATTCCACTGAAACCTGAGCCAGGGACTCAGGTTTGCAAGGCGGAGCTGTGGACTCCTCTGTCTCCCCGCTCCTCACTCCTGGAGCCTGGGTCAGCTTGTCCCACCTGGCCACCACCCACATGCTGAGATGCTTTCAGAGCAGTGAGTGCAGGGCGTGTGTTCTTCATGCTCTAGGTAGCTTGTGTTCAAATCCTCAGAAAAGGCCAGGCCCATGACAATGACAATCAGTAGACCTTGTAGAAATGGGAAGGAGCTGTAGGCTGGGGGAGAGCGCAGGGAGAGGGAGGAGGGGGAAACAGAAGGAGTCAAGGTGAGCTGTGCGTGTGTGTCCCAGCTTCCCAGCACAAATGTATTCATCAGCTTTCACAAGCATGTACTACTTTTTAAAAAGAAAAATGGCATTTCAAGATCAGACTTCCGTAATGTCTGCTGGTAGATTGTATCAGTGGCCTCGGTCTATAATGATGCAGAATAGCAAACAATCCAAAGCTTAACCAGTGTGCTTAACGAGTCTCAAAGCAAAAACCAGTGTGCTCCCCAGTCTGTGGGGCTATAATGTAGGCTGATTTCAGCAGAGCGCCAAGAACACAGCTTGTCAGCTGTGGACTGAGCGACCCAGCTCTATCCTCTGTGTTCTTCAGCCTCCTGTGGAGACCAAAGGCTGACAGAACACATGCCTTGTGCAAGGCAAGGGCAGAAAGACAGGTGCACACAACACGCTGCAGTGTGCACAGCACGGTCTTACAGCGTGCAGGAAGGAGCAAGAGGTGCAGAGTGTAATGGCTCTGCAGTTCACATGGGAGGGTAAGGAACTGGAACCAATGTGATGCCAAGCTGTTACCCAGGGCTCAACACATCCATGTCTCTTTGTTGCAGGAAACCAGAGAGTATGAGGTTTCTATCTAAAGAGCTGTGCTGGAGAAGGGAACTCACAGACATGAACTCAGTTACAACCTCCTCGAGCCGTCCATCCAGAGACCGTGGGGCACTGGATTGAAATCCCAGAGTGTCTGCTGTCTTCTCTTTAGACTCTTGATTGAAGATTTACTGTTTTCTTTGCTGTATTTATTATATTTAAAATTGAAGTAGGTGTGGTTCTGTGTATTGTGGCTGCAGCCAAGTTCGCTGACAGCCTCTACTCCCAAGGCAGGGGAACATCTGGTGGCACGCAGCAGCAACGACAAACAAGCAAACAACAGCAACAGATCAAGTCTCTCCGTCATCAGCAGTGGCATGCTCAGGCTGCGCCAAGTTGCACACATCATTGGCATCCATGCCCAGGGTGTTGGGCTACAAATCTAGCTCCCAAGATGAGGTTGGAAAGGGTGTTTCTCACAGGGTTAACATGGGTTGTAACTTCAGCATGGCTACTCAAGCCCAGTCCTGGTTTTGGCCCAAAACAAATTCTATGTCATCTTTTCTAATGTTACCAGCTCTTAAAATATCTTACCCCATCTCCTCCTCTATCCATGAACTTTCTGAAGGCAGCCAAGATGTCACATGAACATCCTCTTGTACCACCCTGGATGCTGACAAAACAAGAAAATGTTTTCTTTCTTTTAAAAAAAAAAAAAAGTGATAAACCACAAAGGAGAATTTTCAGAGAAGATGCAAGATCTGAGAGTTCCAACTAGGAATTGGGTGAAGGGGAACACTGGGTGAGGGAATTGGGTTAATAAAAAGTTATTTTCCTTGACACACCTTCAGTGATGGGAGAGCTGGTGATTTACACTACAGCTGTCAGACTGGATCTCCTGGTCTGGCAGAGCCGCCCTCCAGCAGGGATAATGAACCTTAAGGCGTGGAAGACACAGGCAGCTTCAGCCATGCAGTTACAGGGCTTGTGTTGGGAGGGAGGAGATGCCACGCTCTGAAGCTCAGGGGTGAGCTGGGGTTTTTTTCTCCTGGGGTTCTGGCTTATCTTGGCCTGCAACATGGGAGATAGTGAAATGCACTGCATCCCTAAAAGATGTCCCCTTCAGGGTCAGTATTTCCCAGGGAGGTTAGGTTCTAGGAGGAAGAGAAAGTAAGATTCTGCTGTCCAGTTGTTTAGAACTTTGTAAGCTGGATGGTGGCATGGGTGCTGATGTGGGGCTGCAGAGAATAGGCCCAGGGATTGAAGTCACAGCAAACCATACCATGGACTCTGCATCATCTGGTCTGAGCATCAGTAAGGAGAGGAAGAGGAATTTCAGGTCCAAATAGGAAGTCGTTGCAATGTATCTAATCACATGAGCACCTTGACATTTGATCAGGGTCTTTTTGCCCCCCAGCCCAGCAAAACTGGTGACCGTGGCTCTTTAGAAGATTCTTTTCTAAATATGAGTGTTTTTTGTGAGAAGGAGAGGGTGAAGGCGCATAAATGGAATGGCACGCACAAGGTGATTCAGCTCCCTGGTGCCGCGCGGTGACCACACAGCCACGGCACAGCTCAGCCAGGCAGGCCCAGGCTCGGTGGCTTTCGACGCCCTCCCTTGTTCTCTAGAGCTGCTTTAAACCTGCTGGAGTTCAAACAAAGAAAGGACCATACTGGCTGCCAAGGCCTAAAGAGAGCAGTTAGGGGGTCTGTCTTCACAGTTGCCTTGGGAACATCTTAAGCAAGAGGGAAAGCTGGTCCTCATGCACACCCCTGCCCTGCTGTGGCTGGGACCCCAATCCTAGGGGAGCATCTGCCAGAGGAGTGTCCTCTACCTTCATGCTCCCTAAGTCAGAGCATCGGCGAGGCAGAGCAAAGGGTGATGGAGCCCTGCTTGCCAGGCTCCCCGTTTATGAAAGAACCAGAGAACAAGTGCTCTGGGCCACTGGTGAGCAGTGTCACTTCTGCAAAAAGACAACAAAATAAATAATACAACCTCGTTTTAAAAGGCAGAAACCCAACCCTCCCTTTGATTTCCATTCACTGCTCATTCTAACCTTAACCCTGAGTGACCTGCAAGGAAGAACTCTACTAATGATATTTGATTTTAGAATGCACTGTGGTTAGGTGAAAGTGAAACATTTGCCTTTCGTAAAGACTGACACTATACAGAGTCATTGTTCTAGCCCTGCTCCCTGAAAGTAGCCAGCTCACCGCCCAGGTATTCTTACTGGCTATTGGACAGATAGAGAAGATGGCATTTCCTCTGTTTGTTTGTTTGTTTGTTTGTTTGTTTGTTTTTTCAGGCCTAGTAACTATGTTTTCAAAGTTTGTCGTAGCCTAGAGTTGGGTCATGCAAGGTCAGAAATGTGCAGTGTGATTGAAAAAGATAGGTTGATGTCTAATTTTTTTTCTTTTTAAAATATCTAAGTGTGTATTTGTAATCTGTAAAGGTAAAAAATTAATAGTGCCAAAAATGTATGAGACATCTCATCACAGTTCATCTATGTCTGTTTTTATAAGATCTAAATCAAAACCCATTGGGATGAAATATTTTTGGACAGAAGGCCCTCTTGAGAAACCTCTGAAGGGACTGAGCCTTCCTACAAGTCGCTTGTTTTTAAAGTATTTGTGAGGAAATACGTTTACAGAGAGTGTGTACTTCAGAGAATGCATCTGCTGGTGTGTGTTACACACTAATTCATGCGAGCTGTATTGTCAGCTACCATCCTGTGCTTTAAAAATACACACACTCAACCCTCCTCATCTTGGAGCTCAGCCTCTCCTTTTTCTTCCTCTTTTTTGGTAGAATTATTTACCCACCCTAAGTATTCTGGTTGCTATCTGACAGCCATCTTTGCTTAATCCCATGGATGTGCTTTACCTGGAAGTGCTTTTGAAATCAGGTCCTTGGAGAGCTTATGGAACAGCTTGCTGATAGCTTGGAAACCTGCCAAGCAGCCCAGAAGAGGAACAAAACTGGCCACATAACTAGGACAGTGGTGTAGAGGAGGAACTAGTAAAGAGTAGGCAGTGTTAGGCTGACACATGACCCCTGGGCACAAGTGACTTTCCCTGGGGTACATCCCAAGAGCGTGACCTTCCTATGTCCTGATGAGGCACAACGGGTCATGTGAGGGTCATATTATGAGTTGTCCAGAATCCCTAATGGTAGGCTTTCTCCTGGGAAATTTTCTTTCATTTTCATTTTATCATCAAACAGAATAAAAAGCAGAACAAACTTTCTAAGCTAGAATAATGAAATTCAGTCATTTTCCACTTTGTATATATTGATGCTAATAAAACGAATGAAAAAAAGAGTTTCATCTGTGGGGTTTCTGTGACTAGCGCTAGTGGGTGGTACCAAGTGGGACATTTCCCATTTCTGGGGATTGGGTCAGGTGACTCGTGTGGATGTTTTGAAGGCCAAGATGGGACTTCTCCGATCTGCAGCAGTCCTAGGGACGTGGAAGGGATGTTTGGAACAAGACAGATCTCAGAGGTTTCCATCACCAAACACACTCTTTGCTTCCCCCAGCCTGGGCTGCCACATGAAGTCTCACAGGCAAGGTGGCTTAAACAACAGACATCACTTCCCAGTGTTCTAGCCATGATCAAGTTGGCAGCCACATGGCTTCCTTGTGGGGGCTGCTCTCTCAGTCTGCTGATGCCCTTCGTACAGGGACTCTGCATGGCTGAGGGGAGAGAGAAGAGGGGGTGGGGCAGGAGAGGGGCAGAAAGACAGAAGTGTCTCTTCTTAAAATGCCTATCTTGTCGTGTGATCTTTATGACCATCTTTCACCTTAATTACCTACCAAGAATAGCAATGCCCCACTTCTCAGTACCAAAGTCAGTATTGGATAAAGTTCTCCAGGGAAATCAAATCAACAAAATGTAGCCGAGCTGGCCAGACAGCTCAGCAGACTAAAGTGCCTGCTAAGGCAGAGCACAGCAGCCAAGGTTCGGATCTCTGGAGTGCTGTGCCAGCCCTGCCCTCGAGGCGTGCTGGGATAGCAATTGAGACTGGGCATGGTGGTACATGCCTGTAATCCCAGCACTTGTGAGGCTGAAAACAGGAGGATCACTACCAGTCCAGTCTACATAGTGAGACCCTGTACACCCTGTAGACCCTGTCCTAAATGCGTAAAATAAATAAATAAAATGTATAAGTATGTGTATACAACTGCATGAACCAATTCATCGTCATCTCTCTCTCCCTCCTTCCTTCTGTGTGTGTGAGTGTGTGTGTGTGTGTGTGTGTGTGTGTGTGTGTGTGACACTGGGCAGAGTCACACCAACTGTAATACATGCAAAGAATTAGGATATGGATTCAGTTGGTGCCATTATGCAGACTGAAAGGTTTCAAGGCTAACAGTCACAAGCTGGAGAGCTGTCACAGGATTCCACTTGAGCCCAAGGCTGAAGCCAGAAGAAGCGACGGGATGAGCCCCTTGTTTCCAGGCCTACTGGAAACAAGATTGGGGTTTCCAGTTACAAAGACCAATGTCCTAGTCTGAGACAGGAGGGAACATCTTAGTCATGCCATCATTGCTGAAGCACAAGACTCAACACCCACAATTTAAAGGGCGCGAGTTTCACATTGTACAGTTCCTGGCTCACCAATGCCAAGGAAATGGACTGGAAGAAACAATTTGAAAGAGGAAAACTGCTCACATTGTGGTGTCCAGACAGCAGAGAGAAAAGGGAGGAGCCAGGGAGGGAGGGGCACCCTTCAGGCCACACCCAAAGAGACCCACCTCTTCCAACAAAGCACCCCTCCAGACAGCATGCTGGTCCTCTGAGCTCACTAGGAGATAAATCCCCCAGTGAGTACAGTACCCCAGGACCCAGTCACCTTCCAAAAGCCCCGCTTTTGAACACATAGGCTTTGGGAGGATGTCTCAGGTCTAAATGGTAACAACAGGTGGGTCCACCTTCTTGTAGTACACGGGTCACTGTATGAGGGCTACTGCCATTCTGAAGGGCAGTCGACTTTACCCAGCCAACTGGCTCCCATGTTAGTCTCATCCAAAAGCACTATGGCAGTCAACCCTAGAATACTGTCTGACCGAATGTCTGGGTATCCCATCACCCAGTCAAATTGACTACAGTTAACCATCAAGCCCCAAAGCCCTATAAATACCAGGGGATGCCTTTAAGGAGTGGGTGAGCTCTACCTTCCCTACCCAAGCTGCACAATGACGCTATTCTTTCTGGGTGAGAAATGAG